GGGAGGCCATGACAAGTCATCATTCATTCTCTTCTCTGCTAGAGGACGGTATCAGTGCAGGCGATACGGAGCTTGTGCACTTGGATTTTGGCTTGTCAAGCGGGAGTGCTGCAGCAGCTACACACACTCGGACATTCAACCCAATGCCTGGCGTGCGCATCAACGGATCGAGTGTGCATGGTGGAAGGTCCTGTCCGCAAGGTGCGAGCGCCACCGCCTTCATTTCTCGAGGTGCGCCGGCGGCAAGCTGGGAACGTCATTGCCCCCCCCTTCATCACGCCAGAGGATGGCCACACCGGCGGCGAACACGAGCATTGCCGGATCGGAAGGAGGTGGCAGGCAGGTGTGGGATTCATGTCGGCGACAGATGCATCAAATGACCGCAGAGAACATAACAAAGGAGGTGGCAGGCAGGTGTGGGATTCATGTCGGCGACAGATGCATCAAATGACCGCAGAGAACACAAACCGAATGCGGAAGATTCCCAACGGGCGAGCGATTACAAATCTCCAGATGTTCTTTGCAAAGAGGAAGCCGAAGACATGGACGACATGGAGATTCGCCCCCTGCTTGTGCGTGGTAGAGGAAGGGGTAGAGTGCGTCAAGAGGTTCTCTACAGGCTGATTTCAGATCTGCCACTACGGTGGTTCTCAGGACGCTGGACCCGATTTCCAGCCCGTTGACTTAAACGAGAAGCCGGGTAAAGCTCCGGGTAACTGGTTTCTGGTTCTCCGGGTAGACTGTGGGGACACCGGCCCCGATCTCTCATCCTGCTTTATAAGGGACGCTGGGCCCGTTTCCCAGCATGTGTTCCTCCCCACAAATAGAATGGAGCCTTGATTTATATTAGAGAAAAACAAAAAAAAAGACTGGGCCTCGCTCCACTACTCTCCACATGCATAAAAGACGAAAGATATAGCAATGTATCTTTCCATGTTCTAGCGGAGGGTTCATTTTCATTTTTCACCCGGAGCCCTAGGGATAAGTTCGTGGCTTAACATGGCAGGGGGTGTGGAGATTTTAGATTACTTAACTAGATTACTCGGAAGTAGAATAGTGGGTGCTGCCCCCGGGCTCGGTGAGTAATGGAAGATTTCCTTTCAAATTTCAGGATGATAAGCTAACCGTGCTGGTGCTGCCGGGATAACTCCGGCGGGTTGAATTGTGAGGTTCCCCGGCCTCTCCCAAGTGTCGATTTGTAATGAAATTGATATTCAAAAAATAAATAAGTTAAATAAATAAAAAAGAAACGAAAAGAAAACACATCCATCATTTTCAATCAAATTCCAGCTGAACGGATACCCAGCAAACCTCACAGAAAGACACTCATGATGCTTGCATTCACATCGAAATTAGAATATATCCATATTCAAGTACAAATTCCACGAGGGAGTAAAAACAAAGCGCCTAATTGTTCCATCCGAATAAGACTAACTAACGAAAATACTCGAAAATGATAAAAATAGACGAGCACTTCCACCCGTTTCTTCCTCTCTCTCTCTCTCTCTCTCTCGCCCCCATCCTCCCATCCTCTTTTTCTCTGACCACGCCTTCAGAGAGGCAAGTATACGGATTCCGACGAACCTAGCCTCCCGCCCAATAACTTGGCGCCCGAATTCACTTCCAACCCGTTCCGTCTGTTTTTCTCGTTCTCTTTTTTCCCCGTTCTCTTTTTTCCCCATCCAGCGTGCTGAGATTCCAAAGTCTGCAGATATCCCAATGTAGCGACAAAAACAACGAAGACTGGGACACAAGGATGCCCACAATAGAGATGTGAACCCCGAGGCCGAAGCCGAAGCCGAAGCCGAACTCTTCCATGGAATTGATCACTCGATCAGAACCTCCTGCCCTGTGTTTGCTCCATCAACGAGGACAGAAGACATATCACGGCCCGCGACTACTGCTTCAGACCCATCCTCCTCCCGTTCCCTTGTAGTCCCTTCAGTAAGGACAAAACACATCTCACGAAAAAGCCCGCATTTACTCCATCCTCCTCGTGTACTTCAAACGACGCCCTCCTTCGTTCAGCTTTCCCCATTCTCGACTTCCATTTCTCTCTATCAGCCTTTCGCATTCGCGAGTTTCATTTCTCTCTAGGATGTTCATAGACACTCCTCGAAACTCCCCTCCCCTCTCTCAATCGCTCAACGACTAACCCCTCAGCTGACCAACCAACGCGACCCATCAGCGAGTCAACCGCTGAGCGACCTGCCCATCACCGAGAACCGCACGCGTCCTTCTTGTCCCCACAATAATAACCTCAGAACATACAAGCACATAAAAATCATTGAAACTCCAATTGAGAACCCGATGTTCATGACACATCCACCCACCAATCAACCAAAACAATCAATCAACCACTCAATCAATCAATTCCAATCAATCGATCAATCAATCAACCAAAACAATCAATCAACCACTCGATCAATCAATCGACCAATCAATCGACCAATCGACCAATCGATCGATCAATCGATCGACCAATCGGCGAATCAATCAATCAACCAATCAATCAATCGACCAATCAAACCCCAGCGGCCACGGAAGCACAGACTAAGCCCACATGGACGCACGTCATTCGCCCTCCATCATAACACATCTTACCGCGAATCGCCATCCACCTACCAGTCGATGCGTCTTTTTCTCCCTATCCACATGTCTGAATAACCGGGTTCAGTGCCCATCAATCAATCACGCCCCTTCAGGCGACGGCCACGCTTACAACGTGTGAGATTCCCGTCGAGCAGCACACATCTTTTACCACTACGACCCATCAAACACATCCCTCACTTCTTTTTCTCCATATCTACACATATATGAAACTCGAATAAAAAACTATAATCAGTGATAAAAACACATACGCATATATGTTTCCAACGTCTCCTACGTATTTACACGCACAACGAACACTTCTATGCAGAATAGAAATGATGCTTATCGCTAGACAAAACCGTGAACAAACTCCAACGAACAAACAACAAACACTGCCGAAGGCTCTGGGGATACAAGTACCCGTAACGCTGAGTGACTTCCGATATTCATCATCTTCGTCATCGTCGTCTTCATATCATCCACATCTCGGATCGTGTACTGTACACAGTGTCAAAGTGACACAGAGAGCTCGGGCCGCTGATGGGCACGAGGCATAACCCCGTTGGGAAAGTTTACAACAAAAAGGGATGATTACCAAATCAGTTGCGCATTTCCGCCCCAGCGTCCATCCACCTGATTTCAGCAGCCCCCCCTCCCCCCCCCTCCCCCCTCCAATCTACCACTACCATCCTGTACAATCAATCCTCAATACCGAACTTTCAAAACCATCAATCAATGATTTCTCATAAAGAAGCTGACGTGTCCTTGAGCACCGTCCATCCACGTCAATTCGGACGGCGAAGACGATTCCCAATTCCAAACGGCGAGAATGTCAAAAGATTAAAGACATGCGAAGATGCAAACGACCGACTACCTTTTTCTGAGACTCTCTCCCATCTCTACCTCCTTTTGTCCAAAACCACAGGGAAAACAAGTATGTGCCCCTTTTTTTTAAAATTGTATCCACCACAATCTTCGCTCTCATCCCCTCAATTAAGAGTCCTCAGTGCGCACTCTCCAGTCACAAGCCCAACACAATCCTCCCACTCCTTCCTCCTTCCTCCTCCCTCCTCTCCTTCTTCCTCCTCCTACTCCTTTTTCCTCCTTCACGAGCCCGATGCACTGCTCCTTTACTACCAGTTAATGAAGCTTATTTGACAACCTCTTCTGTGCATCCCGCAGTACGGAAGTACCACGAACAACATGCGTGCGCGCGCTTGAGAACACTCGAAAGACGACACTTTCCTCCCTATCCACACATTCCATACGAACCCACCTGCAACTTCGCCGCCTCTCCTCCCCACTCTCTTACACACCCTCAGGAACACTGTCATTCCCCTTTCACCCCGCCAGGTCAGCGATTGCGCGACGGCGTAACCATCGTCGGGGGCAGGATGTATGCCGAATACCCACTCCCTCCAGGATGAAGGTGGGGGGGCAACGGAGAGACAACCGGCCTTGCAGAAGCAGCCGGCATACCTCCATTGTTCGCTCCACCTACCCTCCCGACTACTACGGGCGACTGCTGCTGCGTTGTGAACGGCGGCGCGCTGGCTGTCTGCACTCTATTGTTATTACTAGCATTACAAAGGGCCGCCGAGCCACCACCACCACCACCACTACCACCACCAGCGACCTCGGCAGCCATCTGGTCATGAAGCACGTTCACCGCCGTCGCCTTCGCCGTCGCTTTGGCAAACGCCTTAACTCCCAGTTTGTTGAGCGTCCACACAGTACTCACCACGTTGCCAGCCGCACCAAGCCCTTCGTATGTCACGTTGGCGGCCTGATCACCGTACTTGTGACTCACGATATCCGCAGTCGCCTCCCGCGTCTCCGACAAAACCTTCTTTCCAGTCACTTCGGCAGTATCCAGGAGCTTCGAGAAGGCATCCACCGAAGCTATGGCTACATCTCTCACTACCGGGGCTGGCCGCAATGCCGGCGACGACTTAACGGCGTCAGCAACGGTCGCTGCCACCGTTTCCGACGCCGTTAAGGCTCCGCTTAACAGCAGTTTGGACACGGATTTGGCAAGCGCCGACAAGCGCTTGGCCCTCTCGATTCGTCGCGCCGTCGCGAGATCCACTTCCGCTGGCGCCTCGCAGCGCACTGTGCGGGACTTCATGTGGCGATGAGCGAACTTGATTCCCACGCAGGCCAACTCCCCTCCTTTCTCTATGCACTTACAGCAGAGCTCGCCTCCGGTCGAGATGTGACGCGCAAAGGGGGACGTGTACGCGCCTTCCGCGCGTCTCTCCGCTTGTTGGAACTGCTCCTGAAACGGGCTCAAACCTAGAGAACCTCCGCTGGCGCCTGTAGCGATCGCAGCCCCTGGTGCTGCCGCTGCTGGTGCGCTCGCAGACTGCTGAGATTGATGTTCCACGTGGCCATAGGTCCGCAACACAGTCTCCAGATGATTCAGCGCCGTCGATGGTGTGTCGGACGCTAGAACCAAACGATAAGCGAAATCGGGAAGGGAGAACACGTAACTCTGATCAGTGTCTTTCACCGTAAGAGCGTCCTTTGCAATCGGCCAGTGATACTCGTGGATAGAACCGAGAATCGCGCCCAATTGCCCATCCTTCTGCTTCACCAATACCACGGAGAACTCTCCCTGGGCCATCAATATATTCTTCTGCCCATCAACCAAATGGAGCTGAGCTCCCGGGGTCCTGAACAACACGGCTTCCATCCCCGGCGAGCTTCTCTCCCCCATCGCTGGCGGTGATCCATCTCTACTTCCACCCATCTCTCTCTCTCTCTCTCTCTCTCTCTCTCTCTCTCTCTCTCTCTCTCTCCTGTCTCTTATACACATCTAGATGTGTATAAGAGACAGGTCTCACTCTCACGCGCACACACACACACACACGCACAAACACAAACGCCTGTATAGACACAAGTACACACGGAAGCGCGACGGTTTGTCTTCAAGGTTAAACAAGGTGCGACGACTAGACGCCAATTGAAGGTGGTGATCTTTATCGCCGAGAGAGGAAAGTGCGCAGGTCCGGAGATGACTGCCGTCTGCTTCTTCGACGCCAAAACAGCGACCCTCACGACTCCCTGTCGTTGCTCGACAGCCACTCCCCTTCTTTACTTTTCAATGAAAGAACACCTAAGGAGAGAGATGTGACAGCGTAAATATACGCACTCTGTGGTGACGCAATGCCCGTTTTTCGGGAATATCAACTGCAGGCCAACCCCGCTCTTCGTTTTCACCTCGGCGGGAAGAGTGCTGATCACAGCGACGACGCGCTAACGAGAAGGCTTAGCAGTGAAGCAACCGATTGCAATTATGAATCGAATTTCAATTTCGATTTCGATTGGAATTATCTTTCCTGCTCCTCCGTGAGTGCGATACCCCATATATATAAGGCCTCGCGCACTAACCCATAAGATTTGTGCAACTTGGTGTGAATGCATCTCCTCCTAGAAGGCAGACATGTGTTGTCCCTCTGTTCATTTTCGTGCCTCTTTTCACATCTGGCAAGAATGGGCGCGCGCAAATCGAGTACCGACCCCCTGAATGGAAAAAAAAATCCCGAACCTTGCCTTTGCGTTGTTTTTTTTTTTGTTTTTTTTTATTATAAGGACGATGGCCTTGAGCTATTATCATCGGACTAACCAGCCCAGGTAAATTCAATCTTGTGTCTAATCTGACAACGGTGGCCTTTTCAGCCCAGGGTGGCCTGATAGCCTTCGCTGCACAGGTTCTCGCTTTTCTACTTCCTCCTGCACAGTTTGGCGGGCAGGCGCAGCTTTTGCCGCCGCTCATTCTTGTTTTTTTGTTTGTTTTTTGGGAGCTGCCGCTCATGCTGTGTTCGGGAGCAGGGTGTGCGACCTCCCGCGTCCCCCAACCGTCGACCAAAAGGTCGCGCTGAGTGCGCCACCACATCGACGGCTCTCTTCGACTGCCGCCCTTCTACGAGATCTACGAAGCAGTTTCGTCTTTTTTTTTTTTCGGCCACCGCCTGACGTGTGGAGGGCAACTCGATGGACCGACAGACCAAGGGCCTAGTTCGACCGCCCCAACATTGTCAATGCATCTGGACTCAAAAGCGCCCCGATGCGTTCAAATTGTTGCCAGATGGCGAGTTGTGCAACGAGGCCCTAAGAATTGCGCGTAGGTGCTATGGCCGTTCCGTTTGGATGAAGAACGCGTCGTGCTATGTTCTTCTCTCAATTTCACCTCACACCACCTACCTACCACTACTAATTGTAGGCTTTTTAAAAAAAAGAAAGAACGCGTCGTGCGACGTCCATGCAGTTTGGATGAAGACACGTAGTGCTATGGCCGTTCCGTTTGGACGAAGAAGCACGCGTATTGGACGAAGAACGTCCATTCCGTTTGGATGAAGAACGCGTAAAGCGGCGTCCATGCCATTTAGATGGAGACACGAAGCACTGTGTCCCTTCCGTTTGGAAGAAGACCACGAAGTGCGACGTCCATGCAGACACGTGGTGCCACGCCCGTTCCGTTTAGATGAAGAAAGTGGCACTGTCGGACCTACTCAGCATCGCGCGCGCGCGCGATGAAGCCTCTTTGACCACCTCTGACACTGACTGACTACGGCAGCTTAGGAGGCCAGTTCCCACGTGCAATGATTGTTTTTTTTTTTTTTTTTTTTTTTTTTTGGTGCAATGATTGTTTCCTCGTTCCTGGCCGTCGATCTTCATAATCTGTGGCCAGATATAGTTGTCCCTCACTCTCCCCTCCCACCTCACCCCCTTCATCTCACCACTTTGTGGCCAGATAGTTTTCCCTCACTCTACCTTCCCACCTCACCCCCTTCATCTCACCACTTCCCTACAGTAGATCACTACCCATTGTGCCCACCATTGCCTATTACCCACCACCTCATCGCTTCATCCCACCCCTCCCTTTAGGAATCGGCAGTAGCCTACAGGTCTTCACCCGAATACAACGTATGGTCACTATAGCTGTATTTGGGGCAACTTTGAGTCTAGATACAGCAATAATGACCGTACGTTGTACTCGGGGGAAGACGGTTTAGTGATTTGTTGTGTCAAGCAGCAACCTTTTCTCTTTTCCTTCGGGTCCCTGAGTCCCGCCAAAAGCGAAGGCTCCCAGTCCCGGCCCCGCCTTTTTTTTTTTCTTTTTTTTTTATGATGATGATTATTTTATATTTATTTATTTATTATTTTTTTCCCCTTTTTTCTCTTTTTTTTCTTCTTTTTTTAATTCTTTAAGCCCAACCTTTTTTTTTTTTTTTTTTTTTTTTT